GAGATCCGCCTGCCTCTGCCTCCCAAGTGCTGGGATTAAAGGTATGTACCATGCCTGGCAGTAGTTTACTTCTAAAGAGGTTTGTAAGCAAGGTTTGGTGGCACACACCTTTAATCCCAGTGCTTGGGAGGCAGAGGCAGGCCGATCTCTTTGAGTTCAAGGCCAGCCTGATCCACATAATGAGTTCCAGGCCAGCTGGGGCTACTCAAAGACCCTGTCTCAAAAAAGTCCAAGAGATGAGGCTGGAGAGATGGCTCAGAGGTTAAGAACACTGGCTGTTCTTGCAGAAGACTTGGGTTTATATCCCAGTATCCTCATGGCAGCTAACAACTGTCCGTAACTCCAGTTCCGGGGGATCCGATAGCCTCTTCTGTCCTCTGTGGACATTGCACGACACGGGTGCACTTACCTACATGCAGACAATACACGCATACACATAAAGTAAAAATAATAAAACATTTTTAAAAAAGACCGAGAGAGAGGGGGCGGGGAGGTTTATTTAGTTCATGGTTCTGGAGGTTCCTGTCTTGGGTCTGGAAGTATCATTGCTTAAAGACTGGTGAGAACAGGTGATAACAATGACAGGAACATGCGGTGGAGCAAACTACACACACCTTGAGCCAGCCAGGACATATTGAACCTGACAGATTGGGTCTCCAGTCCTCCCTCAGAGTCCTCTCTAAAAAAGCTAAAGTCCAGGGCTGGAGAGATGGCTCAGAAGTTAAGAACAGTGGTTGTTTTTGCAGAAGACCCAGGTTCGAATCCCAGAACCCACATGGCAGCTAACAACTGTCCGTAATGCCAGTCCCAGGGGATCTGACAGCCTCTTCTGACCTCCACAGGCATTGCACAACACTGGTGCACTTACCTACCTGCAGGCAATACACACATACACATAAAATAAAAAAATAAAATAAGTAAAATTAAAAAAAAGCTAAGGTCCCCCAGCAGACCCCATTGCCCAAAGTTCCCCCCACCTTCCAGAAGCAACACCCTGGAGACTAAGACTTTGATAAATGATGTTTTTGGAAATCCCATATGAACCATGCTTAATTCCAGCTCAGCCTCCAGTGTTCTCCACCAATGTGACTGCTGCATATAAATTGTTCCTCTTAAATGATAAACAGGGAGAGATGGCTCAGCAGTTAAGAGCACTGGCTGCTCTTGCAGAGGACTCAGGTTTGATTCTTAGCACCCATATGGCAGCTAACAACCATCCATAATTCCAGTTCCAGGGAAACTGACACACCCTTCTGACCTCCTCCGGCATTGCATGACATGGGTGCACTTATACATACATGCAATATACTCATACACATAAAATTAAAAAATAATAAATAAAATATATTTTTAAAATGATAAACAGGAGGCTGGAGAGATGGTTTAGTGAGTAAAGGTGCTTGCTGCCAAACCTGATGACCTGAGTTCCATCCCTGAGGCTCACGTGGTGGAAGGAAAGAACTGACTTTCACAAATTGCTCTCTGACTTCCACATGTATGCCCTGGCACACGCACACACACAAAAAATAAATAAATGTAATTTAAAACAATTTTAATGTTTAACAGGGATGTGTCTCAGTTGGTAGACAAGAGGCCTGGTTCCATCCCCAACACTGATTAAACTGTTCATGGTGGCTTACACAGTCCCCAGCTACATAGCAAGCTTGATTTGAAGCCAACCAGGGATACATGAAGCCCTGTTCCAAGGAAAAGAGGGTGGGGGATTAGAGATTGCTAACTAACAGAGTCCACAAATGAAGCCACCCTGCTCTGTTGCGGTCCTTCATCCCCAGCATCAGGCTTGTTAAGGCGCAGGATTCCATGAGTGTTGCTGAGATTGCAGGTGGTGAGCACGCCTGACCACTGCTGGCGTGCAGGCGGGGGACAGTTGAGCTCCTTCTCTTGCTGTACCCACTGTAGGTCTGGCACACACTAGCCTTTTGGTGCTTAGCCACAACCCTTGCTTTCCTTCAAAAAAGTCAAGGGTGCATGACTGCTGGTGTCAGGAGACTATTAAGACTGTCATCTTCACATAAGAGTAGAGCTGGAGAGGGTTTCTCTGCCTCCTATGTGAGACAGGCCTGTGGGCTCAGCACCTCCTCCAATTTAGAAATCCTGGCTTCTTAGTGTCTGGCCTGTGTGCTTTTTGTCACTGCATCACTATTCTTGCGCCCTGGCCTGGGTGGACCTGTACCTCAGCACACTCTGTCTTTGTTTTCTGAGAAGCAGGTCAGAAGGCATCCCCTGTACTGTGGTGTGACTATGTTCCAGCTGCCTGTTGAAATGAAAATCCTGCACCCCCATTGAATATTGCTCTGAAGAGAGGGCCATTGTCTGAGCAAAGAGTTTTTGGCTAGGCAGGCGGTCATCCTGTGAGGATACAAGTATAAACCATGGTGTCAATGGTGGAAAGCCCCAGGCCATGGGTTGGATGGGGAGATGGTAGGTGACAAGT